GTGGCATTGACTTGGATAATTTTCTATTTTTAAAAAAATAGAATTTTTATTGATTTTTATTGATTATTTTACTTTTATTCTTTTTTTTTTCCTTTCTTCTTCTTCGTTGAGCTCGTCGGATAAGCGCCAGCGGAGGTGGCCAGCCACTAGGCAAGGGCCGGCAACCCCCGCCGGCCCGGGGGCGAGGGCAACGAAGCCTTTGCCGGTCGTGGGCGAGGGCCATGGCGCCTTCGCCAGATCTGGCAAGGCGAGGGCATCGCGGCCCTCGCCCAGGCCGTCGCTGGCCACAGCAAGGCGGGTGAGGGCTCATGACGCCCTCGTCGGCCGCAATGAAGACTCGCAAGCCCTCGCCCAGGCTATCGCCGACCGCAGCGAGGGCGAGCGAGGGCCATGATGCCCTCGCCCACGGCCGGCGAGGGCTTGGGCAAGGGCTCGCGACACCCTCTCCGGCAGCCCTCGCCCAGGGGTTGGCAGGGGTCTCCAACTGTCGCCCAGTGGCCGACCACCTCCGCCAGCCCTCGTCGCCGGCTCAATGAAGAAGAAAGGGAAAAAAAAAGAATAAAAATAAAATAATCAACAAAAATCAATAAAAAATTTGACTTTTTTTTTAAATAGAAAATTATCCACGTAGGACGGCCGACGCCGACTAGACCACCACGTCAGCGATTTCTGGGCAAAATTAGCCGGAATGACTAAATTAGCAATTCGTTAAAAGGTTTAGGACTAAATTGGCAAAGAGTCAATAGATTTATGACTAAATTGGCACGATTGAAAGATTTAAGACTGAATTGGCAACTTTTTAAAAGGTTTAGAACTGAATTGGTCTCCATACAATAGATTTAGGACTTTTTGGACAATTTTCCCAACATTTATCTTTCCCCTTTCTTTTTGCCTCCGTAAGTGGTAAAACTTCGAGGACACAGGTTTTGAACTCCGCAATTGCACAAGGATGGATCTATATAAGATCAAGAACATTACAGTTTATTGTGATCGATAACCTTTGTCGGATTTTCTTCACCAAACTAGGGCTTCACTGAAGTGGAAACAAAGAATTCAGTTACCTAAGCTCGCACGTATACATGGACTGCAACTGAGACAAAAGGTATCTTGTGATGAGAATATAATCAACTCATACTCAACAAACTTTATGAAAAGTTTAAGTCGGCCCCGACAATACAGTAATAAATAAGCTGATAAATATACAACAAACAACCTGAGTACAATCTGAATAGAGTTTCTGTTGGGGAACCGAAAGATGAAATCGGGAGTGAATGAAATTGGTTGTGTGACTTTGAGATGTGTAGGATCACTGTTTAAAAAAATCATAAAATCTACAAATTCACCAAGTCATAAGAGAAACCAAACACTTGTGATTTCCTTTTGAACTTCTCGACTTTTATGAAAAGTTGAAGATGAGAGAAAATTTGGAAATCGGTGAAGAGCGATAGATCAAGTGTTAAAACATTAATCCATTGCTCATATGACAATTCTATTCCGTGCAAGAGTTACCCATGAGTGAAGAAAACGATCTTTCCACTCAAAGAAACCTTATCGAATGGGATTCGATGACTTACTTTCGTTAGAGTTGGATTTTGAACATCTGAGTATTATTTTAGATGTGCCAAAATGAGCAATTACCACTAAGCAATTTGTTCATTATCGAATTCATCGGCACTAACTATCGACACAAATCCGTGCATCTTTTGTCTTTCTTTGTGTTCATATTCAGTGTATTTTCATTAGCCAATCTGTTGATTTGGTGTGTATAAACATTTTCCTTCTCTTCCGTCGACCTAACATTACATAAATAGGAAACCCTGTGTATGTGTATATGCAAACTAATGAGATCTCGTGCGTGCATGTTCTAATTTTGTGGCCAGTTACCACTTATTTTTCGCCGGCAAGTAGCGTTGACATCTGACCAATGGACCTGTCTTTTTTTTTATTTTAATGAAAAGGTTGATTTTCCTTTTTTGTCTATTTAAGTATGTGTTCCTTGTGGCTACGGCTCTTCATGTAATTGACCCTTGAATACTCCTAATGGTCGGCTTTCGGTCCACGTCCAAACCGCTTATTGAACTCTCAAGTTATGGATTTGAACTTTTGACATATCTATTTTGTTCACCGTCCATGTTAAGATCTAATTGTGTGTTCATTTGAGATTCAATTACTGTATTTATGTATGAATGAATTTTAATTGCACGCATAGTCAGGTCTTGAGATCGCGTGTGTAAAAGTTATCTTTTTTCCTATTCGACAGTGGATAAAAAATAGATAGTGATTATTATATTACTAAGTGGTTGCCTTGATACTAAATTAGGGTCCCGACCACAACAATGATGTGGATGGCAATAAGTCCACGAATTTAATAATGTTCAATATCATCTCCACATCACTGTCATGTATTAAGTTTTCATAAAACGTAAATGACTTTCCAAGGGGAAACAAGGTACCAGACAAGGATTGTCGAACTAATCCTGCCTTAAAGTTTTTACAAGAGAGAATGTGGAAAACTATTATTTATTATCTGAACATGACATGTAAAAATCTTTTTGGCTATGTATGTAAAAAAAATCAAACTCTAGCTTTCAGGGTTATGCTAAATAACATATATATATATATAGGAAGCACTTGCAACATCTCATTGATATTCCAATTACTTTCTTGATTGTCCTCAGAAGCTACCACGACTGATTGGAACGTTAATTAGGGATATAAAGTTCTAAACACATAATGATATGGAGAGTTGATTAGACTTTAGTCAACGAATTGGTAATCATGTAATTAATTATTATTATTTTGCTTATCAAAGATAAACAGAGAAAAAGAAACCCTTGAGGATATAGATGAATTTCGCTGGCAAAATAATGGGGACAATGGGGGTGGAAGTATCACAAGTACAGCAAGTCATTGCTCGGTCTAGACAAGGTCATAATCATCTTGTCCCTCGAGCCGTGCCCCAAATTACGGACACTAATCAGAATCAAATCAAAAGGGGAATAATTATTCAGTCAAGTATGCCCAAAAGACACCCAGGTGGGCAAATGGAGTTACAGGTCATTCCCTAATATCAGAGAAATATATTATTCTTTTTCTCACTTTAAAAAAAAACTACTATATGTGCATACCGAAATGAAGTTACAATGGATTATTGAATCAGCCAACATGATATAGCCACAAGCATGGCCATGGACTCGATTTCCTCTTTTGAAAATTAATGCCGGCTAACATCGATATGGTGATAGTGAGATCTTATAAAGTGTCACAAACCTATGGCACAATCCCAATGCTTTATGGAGCCCATAGACACCAACATCTTGAGATGAAATAACAATTTAAGGATGAAGAGACACATATGTACTAACAGATTAGACATCTGATACACAATCGATTCTCATGTTTTCAAACGCTAGGATTTGCTTGTTTGAACTACTTGCTCGAGCTTCGACTTACATCTTATATGATTTAAGAGATTAATCTCATACAAAGTCAACTTCCTCGTCATAGTTTAATAAAAAAAAATGGGGAGTTGACAAAGTAATTGACAAAATTATAACTGGTGATGTCCCCTTCTATTGAAGTCACCAACTGCGGCCTTGCTTGAGCCCTCGAATCATGCCTACAAATCAGTGTATCCCGTTTAGTAATATGCAGCACGTTCCACACCTTTCGCGGAAAAGCCTGCCCGATCGATCTTTCTGTCTTAGTCAACGGCTTGGGTTGGGGGGCTACCAGATGTTGCCACGTCAGCTTGATGAATGGTAGTCGGCAGAGGTTTGAATTACAAGACAACCACATCACATTCATACAAAAGAATAATAAAGTGAGAGGATGTAATTGCCAATTGGGTGTGTACTTGACTTTAATCATAATGATTATAGTTTAATAGAAGCGGCAGCTTTTTTGACAACTTTTGTTATGCACTGATTAGATTAAAATTAGAAACCCAATTTAAGAGGGCAAGATAAGGAAAAATTGCAATACTTAGCTCGTCGGGGGTTAGATATAGAAATTTTATATGAAATTTGATAGATTATAGCACATATTGCATGAGAATATCACTGAAACATCAATAGGCTAGACGGTGATGAGCCTTGCCGGCCTCATGAGAGTAATGTCATAATCATTGGATCAAGGCTAGGTGTTAGCTAAGGCAAGTATCGTTGAAAATCATAAAAGTTCCATTAAATTGTGCCTTTGATGTTAATCTTTGATCTAGTACTTAAAGACAATGTTAAAATTAGTATCCTTACCAAAAAAAAAAAAAGACAATGTTAAAATTAGTGGGTGTTAGCTGTTTTTGGACACGCTTATGTTGTTAATCATTGCATAGATCAAAGTTTCATGGATAGGAAATTGAATGTTAACTATATACAAGGCACTTAAGTTAGGAGTCTCCTCCACTGGAAATACAAAAGAATAAGCATGACAAGCATACCCTACCTTTAGGTTTACCTGGAGAAGACAAAGCTACATCTAAAAGTAGAAAGTGGAAATATATAAATAAAAATAAAATGAAAAACTAGGCTGAAGTGTCCCAGGTGGCAGAAGGGCATACGTAATATCGTTGAATTGAAAAATAGAAAATAAGTCAAAATTAGGAAAACGAGATGCATCACTACCTGAAGATGAGTGCTTGTGTTGTGAATTACCAGTTTTGAAGACCTTCCTCCTTGCAAGCATTGACTTTTGGGTCATTAAAATAAAGGGTCACCGTCCCACACCTTACCCCTGATCCAACGGTTGCCTTTTGACAAAGAGTTTTTTTTTTATTTTATAAAATAAAAAATAACAGACAAATATTGTGTAGAGTTGACAATTCAGATGGATCCTAGATGGCGGGAGTGCAATATAAATGGAGACCTGCACATCTCTGTTTGCTGCATCAGAAACAAGCTTCATTTCACCATCAGAAAGCAAGTAGCTTGAGCAGCCCTCTTAGAGTTCTCTGTTACTTGTTTTCATTCACATATAAACTTCAAGAAATATTTACACGTCAAATGGCGATTCCGGTGATTGATTTCTCGAAGCTCAGCGGCGAGGAAAGGGCCAAGACAATGGCGCAGATTGCCAATGGCTGTGAAGAATGGGGATTCTTCCAGGTACAACATTTCATCCCATATTCATCTTCACTTGAGACTTTGATTGAGGGAAGGAAAGTCGTCAGTTTGATTTTCTTTCTGAGTGCATGTAGGCGCGCGCCAGTATATCTTTTTGGGTTAAGTTCAGCAATGTTCACCCAGATCTTGGTTCGGAACTTTTAAGTGTGTCCCTGAAAAATGAAAATGCCCTGATTTGAATGGTTTCTCAATCATTGAAGGAAATGTTTTGTTCTTACTTTTTCAAACCTTCTACATCTTTATCATTATTTTCTTGTTCCCAGTTCCAATAGGACAACTATCCAATAGGGTAAATTATTCCCCTCTAAAACATATGTTCTAATGGTCGTCTCTCAACTGTCGAGAAACGAGGCAATTATGATATGACATGATAGGTAGACAAAAATCCTGGTAAGACGTACTAGAAGATACTAGGTGGCTTCATTAGAGAAAAACTGCGAGATACGTAGTCTGATTGCATGTGTGCTCAATGAACTAAAATATGATGATCTAATTTCACTTGAAACCTACATGATCTAATGGCTCCTGTAAAAGATACATGCATTACTTTACGCTAAAAAAATATCCAGAGCTAATGATTCTGATCGTGTGAATTGATGATTATGTAATGATGAATGCAGTTGGTGAACCATGGAATACCAGAGGAGCTGCTTGAGAGAGTGAAGAGAGTTTCCACTGAGTTCTACAAGTTGGAGAGAGAAGAGAACTTCAACGAGTCAACCCCTGTGAAGCTGTTGAATGACAGTGATGGTGAAAAAGTAGAGAACGTGGACTGGGAGGATGTTATCACTCTCCTTGATGACAATGAATGGCCTTCCAACACTCCCGGTTTCAAGTAATTTTCATCTCTCTCTCTCTCTCTCTCTCTCTCTCTCTCTCTCTCTCTCTCTCTCTCTCTCTCTCTCTCTCTCATTAGGTTAATTAAGTGCAACAACATATAAGTACGTTCACTAAATGACTGCACCCTTTTTATAAAAGGATTTGTTAATAATTTGCATGAGTAACTTAACAGGGAAACAATGGCGGAGTATCGGGCAAAACTGAAGAAGCTTGCCGAGAAGGTCATGGAAGTCATGGACGAGAATTTGGGCTTGCCAAAGGGCTATATCAAAAGCGCCTTCAACGGTGGCAATGACGACAGCGGCGACAGCAACAACAACAAGGCCTTCTTCGGGACTAAAGTGAGCCACTACCCGCCCTGCTCGCAACCTGAGCGGATCAACGGCCTCCGAGCCCACACCGATGCGGGCGGCGTGATCCTACTCTTCCAGGATGACGTCATTGGGGGCCTCCAGATACTCAAGGGAGGTGAGTGGATCAATGTGCAGCCACTCCCCAATGCCATCGTCATCAACACGGGGGACCAGATCGAGGTCCTGAGTAACGGCAAGTACAAGAGCATCTGGCACCGCGTCCTCGCCATCCCAGATGGCAACCGGCGCTCCATCGCCTCATTCTACAACCCGTCCCTTGCTGCCACCATTGCCCCTGCGCCGCAGCTGGTGGAGCAAGCTCGTGCTTACCCCAAGTTTGTGTTTGGGGATTACATGTCGGTCTATGCTGAGCAGAAGTTCCTCCCCAAAGAGCCTAGGTTCCAAGCTGTGAAAGCCATGTAATAATGTACGAAGAAATATTTCTTTGTATATTATTAGAAGAGAAAAGCATAATTCTCTCTTTTTTAGGGTTGTGCAACAACTATGGCCTTTTCTTCTCTCAACTGCTGCTTGTGTGGAGGAGAAGTAAATGCAAGTTGTTTTCTGAACTCTGAAGTGTGCGCGCTTTAGGTTTGTAATAACATGTGACCATGAGATGCCATGAAATGCACCCTGGTCTTTGTTTTATGTTGTAATAGTATTTGCACTTGTCTACAGTCTCTTATCTTTAATTTCTCTTCTTTTCCCCTTAGATGTGACCACTCATTGAAAGCTGTGGAACTTACCCAGTCTACTAATAAGGGAAAAATTCGAGCTTCCATCTACGTCGAATGTTGAGGTTTAGTAGTTAGTAGTACTACGTTTTTGAAAGTGAGGTCGGGTGGCATGGAAACACCGGACTTCTCCAAGGGTAGACAGTTTGTAAGTTTTCCTAAAGTTTTGGAAACAATTCGAATGCGTAATATGAGTAGTGGCATCGAATTGTGTGATAACCCATTTTGATTTTCCAACCCCATGAACATACTCTCGGTCACCGTTCGACAATCTCAAAGAGAGAGTTCAAAGACACGTCATTGATATATGTACTGTTATCTTGTTAGAGTCGTGTTAGTAAGTGGATTAGAGATAGAGAAAAGGTTTCGCTTTCCAGAGAATAAGGACGCATCTCACAAAGCAAGTCCAGTAAATTGAGAATTGAAAACGATCTGTAATGATAACCACAACTGCTGTCCAGGGACATCTGGAGTTAGGAAAGTCCGAGAAAATGAAATGAAATACTCTGATACCCCCGCTAGAACAAGCCAACAGGTTAGATCTTCATTCTCGCCCAAAAAAAAGACTTGTTTTATACAAAAATTTAATTCCCTTATAAAAAAGGAAGAAGAAGGAAATGAGTAAAAGAAAATGGCACCCCAAATCAATGGGCAGCCTATATGGTGTAAATTAATAGTATGTAGCTTTGGTAAGTAGGATTTTGTACTACCAGTTTAACTTATATCATGTACAGATGTGTACATTTACCAAACTCGATGGGTCTTGAATGTAGTAGCTTTCTCCTTGCTTTCCAAAAACTGAAGGAGCTTCAATCATGCCTTACATTCCAGTTCAAGCATCGTATTTATCAACCAAATATAATATTATTGGTTTTGGAACCCTATCTTTGAAATAGAAAGTTTTATATTTTATGTATTTCTTTCTTGCAAGTCAAGTCTTCTAGAATGTTTTGACCAAAAAAAAAGTCTTCTTAGATGTAGTCTTGGGTATATAAATACCCACCTAAGCTTAATGGAAAAACATAACAATTTCTATCTCAATAGCTACAATGACTCCATCACCTTGCACCTATATGACAAGGTTTTATTTGTGATTGATGGAACAAAGAAATCAGTTCACTACATAACAAGTTTCGTATTCCATTCTTTCCTGTTTAGAAGCACAAAATTTCCTGTTCCATTTTGATATGAAGTCCGCTTCATGTTTCTACATGACGTTTACCATATATGTTGGTGCTCAGAAGTTTCGACTAAGATAAATAGAGTCTTGTCAGTGGGAAGAAAATGTAACTAGACATGTTGCCCAAGTTAAGACCAAAATGTTAATATCCTTTCTCCCTCCTTTCTTCTTTTGGAGAATGAGTTCACTGACTCACCTTTGTAATAAGGGCGCGCATGGTAACGTTTTTGTTCCCCGGATGAGTTTCTGAGCAAAAAATACGCATTTGATAACGACACAAAATTTCTGTTTCCGAAATGAAAATTCGTTTGATAACGACACAAAATTTCTCCCTTCCGAGCGGTGGGCAGAGGACAGTGGATGGCGGCGGGGGGCGAAGGACGGTGGCCAGTGGTGGGAGGCTGCCGGCCGGCCACGGTGGAGGACGGCGGCAGGCGGCAGGAGGCGGTCGACGACGGCCGGCGGCAGGAGGCGGGAGGCGGGAGGCGGGAAGCGGCCGACGGCGGGAGGCAGGAGGCGGCCGACGGCGGGAGGCAGGAGGCGGCCGACGGCGGGAGGCGGCCGACGGTGGGAGGCAGCCGACGGTGGGAGGCGGCCAACGGTGGCAGGAGGCGGCCGAAGGCAAGGGGATGGCCAACTAGTAGCGAGGGCGAGCGATGAGAAGAGTTTTTATTTCTCATTTCTGCTCCAGAAATAGAAAACTAGATTTTTTTTTTTTTACTTCTGATTTCTGTTCCAAACCTATTTCTGGAGTAGAAATTTGTTCTAGAAATAGATATATAAAATTGCGTTATCAAACGGATTTTTGTTTCAAATCTGTTCCTGAAAATAGAAAATAGAGAAACAGAAATGATTTCATGCGCTGCTTAAGTCTGTCGTGTTCATAGCATTCTACCTTTGAAAGGTGTGGATCAGAACCCCGATCGACAACCTCATTTAGGACATCAAATACTTTGACAGCCATGGCTTTACTATTTTGGAAGATTTCACAACGCAGACGCATTTTAGGAGTTATATGAAACATCATTAACTGTATTATTCCTTCAAAAAAAAAAAACCTATATTATTCCCATGAATGACCTGCCTCAGATTGTGTCTACAATCATCAAACCGCATCAAAAAAGAAATAATGATTTAAAATGAAAAGAAAAATCCTGCTGACACAATAAGAAGAAAATTGAATTGAAGAGCTTTCCTTGTGGGACGTGAGAAATCCATGAGACCCAATACTGAAGGATACACCAGGGGGACAGCATCCCTGAATAAGTTTGATGCATGTAATATAACTCCATCTCCTCCCAAGCAAGCCACGAAATCAACCCTCTCATGAAGATCACTAGATAAAAACACCACAAGGCGATCAAATTACATAAGTCAAAATTACAGTGAAAAATATTGAAAGTCTGCCTGAAAGTTCTTTCACTGCAACGGCAACTACCTGGTATCATGACTACAAAATGTTTGAACAAACCCAAAACCCGGGATTTAGGCAAATACGTCGTGCACGTCAGGTTCAACAAGAAATTTCATCTTCTGTTGCTAATACAAGAAAGACACAACCTGTATATGAGGTAACAAATCATGAAATTTTGACTATGCGCAGTAATATAACAATACAGCAGCTATTATGATAAGTACACCGATACCCTAACAGATCGAAAATGGCATTAGGCAGAATGGCAGCAGCAACTAATGAGCCGCTTCCTATCAAATGACAGAGCTCCTATGAGAGCTCTTAGCTGTTGCGGCGTCCTAGCTCAATATCCTCCTTTGGTGTCAATGGACTTGAAATCCTCATCAAGTCATTGTGCTTGCGTCAGCAAACTTGTGTCTCAAGTTGCAAGCACTTTAATTAAGTCCGAACAAGATCTTGCTTTTTACTTGTATCAGAAACTGCAGGTGGGAAAAACAAAGGCGCACACTAGATGCTAAATAGCTAGTTCTAGTTGTTCCTAGATTTCTGTAAAATTATAAATCTGCTTCCACACATAAAGTTTCGTGCATGTGAATGAAGATGATGCCCATGCAGATGCTAAGAGAACTGTTAATTAACATGCTTGTTCCTTGGTCCTAGCCCAGAAGAGTATAATCAGTGCTGGCAAATCTGGCATAGCATTTCTCAAACAGTGAAGCTGTATCATTATGTCAAGAAAATATATCTACCCTTTAGCTTCTTCCATGAGTTCTAGCCTCGGCTTTTTCAGTAACAGAACAGTTTTTGGGGGTAGTTTTCCACATAAACATCTTTCGCTGCGTATTAGGGTGAGAAAAAGCCAACGAAGATTCAGTAACTTTCTCTCTGGTACGGGAGAAACCATCTGTACGAACTAAAAACATCTCCGCTTTCTGTCTTGACTGCACCCGCACAACACCAGTGGCCGAAGCACACATATTCCCCTCATCTTCCGTGTCATTATCACCATTAACTAAGTATGATTTAACATTTCTTTTACGGTCTCCCCACAGTAGTTTCTGGTTTAATAAAAATTAGGTACAGGGAATATGAGAACACAAATAGTTTGTGAACGATTTTATGGCAGCAATTGTTTTCATGGCATACTAATCTTAATACATTTGAATCTACGAGATAGAAAATTGATTCTATTATTATACTCATCCAAACCACTTCAAATATGTTAATTTCTATCTTCTGTGCCATTAATTGAGAACCCCAACTCATCACTTCATGGGAGGAAGAGAACAGTTGAGGTAGTTATCTAACTAAACAAAATGATTGGGACTTTGCTCATCTAATTCTTTACGAATCATGAGCTTTGGAGCAATCAAACTTGGTCAAAGTCATCACATTAAATGACTGCAAAGCGAAATGAACTTGTGTTTCGTGTCTAAGAAATAATTAGTCAAAGAATCTGGTCAGACAATAACACACCCTTTCACCTTGTTATAGGGAAAAATAATACACTTAATTCGAAGAAAATCTTCACCTAAATCCTCCAAACCTATTTAATTGAAGCGAACCAGGAGTACCGGACGCAGTCAAGCCGACCATGGCAATGACTATGCTTGGCGTACTCTACATGTCCAGCAAATTCTTTTTAATTGCAGCCATCCAAGGCTTCTTATAACAAGATGTATAATGTACTGCAATAACATATGATAACAATTGATTAAAAAAGTTGCGTTGAGACAGAGAAACCTAAAACCAAATCTATGTACAGAGACTCTAGACCATTCTGAGTGCCTTGCGTGAAACATTGTAGTTCAGCATCATGTGGCATTAATCGTCATGCATGAACATCTCTGCAATCGTTTCACTCTTTTCAAGACTAAAACTTCATTGTTTTTTATTGTTTCTCCAATTCGATGGAGTGTCTTGGGGGAATGAATGGAGTTCCTCTCTTGCATTCTCTTGTGCTAATTAGGGTTTCTTTCCTTTTTTTTACTTGTAAGTATACTTGGTACGTACGATTGTTTCTCCCTCTTCTTTTTTTTTTCTTTTGCCTCCATAAGTGGTAAAATTTTGAGGATATAGATTTTGAACTCCGCACTTGGACAAGGATGGGTCTATATAAGATCAAGAACATTACCAGGCTTGATCAATAACCTTTGTCAGTTTTAATTCACCAAACTAGGGCTTTACTGAAGTAGAAACAAAGAATTCGGGTACCTAAACTTGCATGTATACAAGGAGTAAGAGTAGAGAGGAATTCTCTAAGTTTTGATGGACTGTAATTGAAAAACAAAGGTATCTTGTAATGAAACTGTAATCAACTCATACTCAACAAACTCCATGAAAAAGTTCAACTTGGATCTGGCAATACAGGGATATATAAACTGATAAATAAACAACAAACAATCTAAATAGAGTTATTGTTGGGGAACCGAAAGATGAGTTTGGGAGTGAATGAAATCGGTTGACTTTGAGACGCGTAGAATCACTTTTTTTAAAATCCATAGTTGCCCCAGATAAAATCTACAAATTCACCAAGTCATTATACCGTTGTAATTTCCTTTTGAACTTCTCTTAACTTTCATGAAAGGTTGAAGATGAGAGAAAGTTTGGAAATTGGTGAAGAGCGATCAATCAAGTGCTAAGACACTTATCCATTGCTCATATAATCATTCTATTTCGTGTAAGAGCTATCCATGAGTGAAGAAGACAATCTTTTCACTCTGTTAGAGATATATTTAGGAGATTTGTATATTTCCATTAATTGGTCATTACTAATTTTAATTGTTTTGTTTCTACTTTAGAGGCTCATGTATTCTTCATTTGGTAATGTACATAATATTACACTCTCTTTTCCATCTGAATTCTCAACTAGGCATCATAGCCATCATTGTTACCTAACGAGTGCACATCGAGTTTGTTTCATAACTATGTTAGCCCCATCGGTCACCTTTCTAAACGGTGGTCATCACGATGACAGCTACATCACTCTTGTTTCTTCACCAAGTCTACAATTTCAGCTGCTGTTCGAGACTCTTTCATTGCTCATTTCAAAAAACAGACACCACCATCAAACTTGCCGCCCTCATACGATCTAGATCCTAAAATTCTGATGATGACAACCTCCTGCGCGACGACAGCTTCCTACCGTGCAGCCTGCACAACAGCCACGTAAGTAACGACATCAACGTCAGCTGATTCTCTCTCTAGCACACCGAATTGCTTCGGCGATCCACTAAGAAACTTGTGCATTATATATACATTCGACATCTGGCATCCGTCCAACAAAGTTTGTCAATTGTGTCAAGCATTATATGGCTTGAAATGGGCTTCTCAAGCGTGGTATTCCAAGTTTAGCTCAACCATGAAATCTCTTGGCTTCAAATCTAGTCCCAATGACCATCTCTTTTTGTTCAACCCATATTTCGTCGGTACATCCTACTACTCTTATATGTGGAAGACATGTTTTTTATTGGCAATGATCATATTGACATTTCAAAACTCAAGCAATAGTTTAGTCAAATATTTGAAATGAAAGATCTCGGGCGACTCATCTACTTTTTAGGCTTGGAGGTTAATTCGGATTCGTCTCATTGTTATCTTTTACAAGAAAAATATGCAACTGATCTTATTTCTCAAGTCGGACTCACTAACAACAAGGTCACTACAACTCATATTGAGATCAATGCCAAGACACGTCCACCTAGACTTTTATGGATCTTTTCTCCAAACTCAAGTTAACCTCCTTCAAATCGCCTCAAGTTTAAGGGGATGTTAAAGATATATTTAGAAGATTCTATATATTCCCCTTAATTTGTTCCGATTGATTGTAATTGTTATTTTACAACTTAGATTATCATCATGTAAAGCCTATAAATATGCTCATGTACTCTAATGTAAAGAATGTTACACTCTCTTTAGCATCTTAATTCTCAACTCCCTCAAAGAAACCTAATTGAATGGGGATTCGATGGTTCATTATCGTCAGAGTTGGATTTCGAACATCCGAGTATTATTTTCGATGTGTAAAATGTGCAGTGACCACTAATCACTTTGGTCCTATTCAAATTCATCAGCATCAACGATCTACCTTATCAGTCATTGACGAATCTGTATATCTTATGTCTTTCTTTGTATTCAGTGTGTTTTAATTAGCCAATCTATTGATTCGGTGACCATACACATTTTCCTTCTCTTTCGTCGACCTTAACATCACATAAATAGTAAATTCTCCATGTCTACGTGTATATGCAAACTAATGAGATCTCGTGCGTCTATACTCTAATTTGGGGGCCAGTTAACACTTATTTTTCGCTGGCAAGTTGCGTTGACATCTGACCAAAGGACCTGTCTTTTTTTTAATGTAAAGGTTGACTTTCCTTTTTTGTCTTTTTAAGTATGTGTTCCTTGTGGCTACAGCTCTTCATGTAATTGATCCTTGAAACTCCTAATGGTCGGCTTTCGGTCCACGTCCAAACCACTTATTGAACTCTTAAGTTATCGATTTGTAGTTTTGACATATCTATTTTGTTCACCGTCCGTGCTAAGATCAAACTGTGTGTTCAATATTTGAGATTCGATTAGTGTACGAATGAATTCCAATTGCACGCATACTCGAATCTTGAGATCACATGTGTGAAAGTTATCTTTTCCAATCCAAGAGTGGATAAAAATAAAAACTGATTAGTATATTTACGATAGAGATTAACTAATCGGTTGCTTTAATACTAAATTAGGGTTCGGACCACAATAAGGATGTGGATGGCAATTAGTCAACGAATTTAAAAAAGGTCAACATCACTGTCATCTATTAAGTTTTCAGAAAACGTCAATGGCATTCGAGGGAAAAAAAAAAGGTATCAGACATGGATTATCGAATTAATCCTGCATTAAAGTTTACAAGAGAGAATGTGGAAAATAATTATTTATTATCTGAATATGACATGTAAAAATCTTTTTGGCTCTATATGCGAAGAATGTGAGGCTCTAGCTTTCACGGTTATGCTAAAAAAACATATACAAGAAGCACTTGCATCATCACATTGATAGTCCAATTACTTTGGTTGATTGTGCCCTGAAGTTACCACTATTGATTGGAATGTGATTATAAAGTTCTAAAGACATAATAATCTGGACAGTTGGATTAGACTTTAGTCAACGAATTGGTAATCTTGTAATTAATTATATTTTAATTTTTGCTTGTCAAAAATAAACAGATAAAAAGAATCATTGAGATATAAATGGATTTCCCTCACAAAATTATGGGGAAAATGGTCGTGGAAGTACCACAAGTACAGCGAGTCATTCCTTTATCAGACAAGGCATAGTCATCCGGTCCCTCGAACCGTGGCCAAAATTTCGGACAGTAATCAGAATCAAATCATCCACCAAAAAAAAAATCAGAATCAAATCAAATCAAAAGGGGAATAATTATTCAGTCAAGTATGCCCAAAAGCCACTCAGGAGGGAAAATGGTGTCATTGATCATTCCCTACTATCCAGAAACATATTATTCTTATTCTCAATTTAAGAAAAACACATAATATTCATTTATACCAATGTTAAGTAATAGCGACAAGCATGGTCATGGCTTCGATTTCCCCTTATGGAAATGCTCCAATGCCTCCATCTGGTTATAATGAAACCGACCAAGTGTCCTAATGACACTGTTTCGCCGGGAATGGCTTCACGCGACATTATACCTTTCATTGAAGGTTGCATCTTCCATTTTTTATTTTAGTCGGGTTACATGGCAGTTTGGACAGGAAGTGTTAAGCGTAACCAAGAACAAGAACTATAACTAATTACTCTAAAACAAAATAAATGAAGAAACTGGAAAGTTAATATCCAAACTAGAAGTTACAACCGAATATCAATGATTTTCGGCTCCATGATCACGCCCCATAGCCGCATGTTCATCTTATTAGTAAGAGGTTACAACTCTTCAGCTGTCACTGGGCTCAACTACATGTTTGCAATTTCAGGCTCCATGATTGCACGTCAATCATCTCAACGAACTGTTTATAATACCTCAATTGGCATCTTTATCATCTTTAGTTTTTCCTTCAACACTTAGCTAAATCTATTCTAAGTGTTAGTCATCGACCAATCATCACCATATGTTGATAATAGTATTTGGTCATCGATACTCATGATTATCGACAAGCTCTTCTGCCATTGATATCCTCTCAATAGTCAAATCACTCGACACCGAGCTTTTATATCCGCCTTATGTCCATTCATGGACGAGCTTCTCTACCGTTAATTGTAATCATTCAACATCAAGCTCTATATCGGTGTCATATCAATTAAAAAGATTTGGTCATTTTTGGGTGTCAACAGACACGATCCCAATGCTTTGTGACGCTAATTGATACCAACAGCTAGAAAAGAAATAACAAACTTATAGAATTGACTTAACTACGAAGAGACATATGTAGTAGTAGATTAGACCCACAATACACGGTCTATTTTCATGTTATCAAGCGCCAGGAAATGCATGTTTGAACTATTTACTTGAGCTTCCACCTACATCTTATATTATTTAAGAGATTAATATATCTAACACAAGGTCAACTTCCTCGCCATAGTTTCTTTAAAAATTGGGGAGTTGACAAAGTAATTGACAAGATTGTAATTGGTGATGTCCCTTTGTATTGAAGTCACCAACTACGGCATTGCTTTAGCCCTCGAATCATGCCTACAAATCAGTGTATCCTGCTTAGTAGTATGCAGCACGTACCACACCTTTCACGGAAAAGCCTGCCCGATTGATCATTCTCGGTCAAAGGCTTGGGTTGGAGGGTCACCAGATGTTGCCACGTCAGCTTGATGAATGATAGTCGGCAGGGGTTTGAATTGCAAGCAATACAACAGACACCCACATCAATTTCATTCCAAAGAATAATAAAAGGTAAAAAAAGATGTGATTGCCAATTGGGTGTGTACTTAACTTTAATCATTTTAAGTATAGTATATAGAAGCAGCAACTATTTAACAACTGTTGCATGCACTGACTAAACTTAAAAATCAGAAACCTAATTAAAAGAGGGCAAGATAAGGAAAAATTGCAATACTTAGCTCATCGGGGGTTTGATATAGAAATTGTATAGGAAATTTGATAGATTATAGCACGTATTGCATGAGAATTGCACCGAAACACCAATAAGCTAGACGGGTGATGAGCCTCTCTGGCCCCCATTCGATCCATCGTTATGAGAGTCATGTTTATAATCATTGGATCAAGGCTAGGTGTTAGCTAAGGCGTGTATAGTTGAAAATCATAAAAATTTGATTAAACTATGCCTTTGATGTTAATCTTTGATCTAGTACTTAAAGACAACGTTAAAATTGATATGGGTGTTAGATGTTTTTTAACACACTTATGCTGTTAATCATTGCATGGATCAAAGTTTCGTGGATAGGAAATTGAACGTTTAACTATATAAGGCAATTGAGTTGGGAGTCTCCTCCACTGGGAAAATACAAAAGAACAAGCATGACAAGCATACCCTAGGTTTAGGTTTACCTGGTGAAGACAAAGCTACATCTAGAAGTGGAAAAAGGAAAATAAAAATAGATTTAAATAAATAAAAAAATAGGCTAAAGTTGCCAGGTGGCAGCAGGGCATACGTAATATCATTGAATGGAAAAATAGAAAATAAGTGAAAATTAGGAAAACAAGATGCATCGCCACCTGAAGATGAGTGCTTGTGTTGTGGGTTACCAGTTTTAAAGGCCCTCCTCCTTGCAAGCATTGACTTTTGGGTCATTAAAATAAAGGGTCGCCGTCCCACACCTTACCCCTGATCCAACGGCTGCCTTTTGACAAAGAATTTTTTTAATTTTATAAAATAAAAAAGAACAAACAAATATTGTGTAGAGTTGACAGTTCAGGTCGATCCTAGATGGCGGGAGCGCAATATAAATAGAGACCCTGCACATCTCTATTTGCTGCATCAGAAACAAGTTCGGTTTCAACATAAAGAAGCAAGTAGCTTTGAGTAGTCCTCTCAGAGTTCTCCGTTACTTGTTTCCATCCACATATAAACTTCAAGAAGTAGTTGCGCGTCAAATGGCGATTCCGGTGATCGATTTCTCGCAGCTCAGTGGCGAGGAGAGGGTCAAGACAATGGCTCAGATTGCCAATGGCTGTGAAGAATGGGGTTTCTTTCAGGTACAACATTCCATCCTCTATTCATCTTCGCTTGAGTCTTCGGTTGAGGGAAGGAAAGTCTTGAGTTGGATTCTCTTTTTGTGTGTGTATGCGCGCGTGAGTATACCTTTTTGGCTCAAGTTCAGGAGTGTTCACCTGGATCTTGGTAATTTACGAACTGTTGAGTGTCTCTGAATTATGAAAACGCCCTAATATAAATGATTTCTAAATCATTGAACGAAAATATTTTGTTCACTTTTTCAAGCTTTTTACATTTTTATCTTATTCTTGTGTTCCCAGTTCTAACAGGACAATTATCCAATAGGGTAAATTCTTTCCCTCTCTAAATCCATGAAATTGCAAATGGTTATCCGTCAACTGTCAAGAAACGAATTATGACATGGCATGATAGGTAGACAAAATCCTCAATTAGATGATACCATTAGGAGGTACTAGGTGGCTTTATACGAGAAAAGAGTTGCATCATGCATCGTCTGAGTAAATGTGTGCTCAATATATGTCAACACTAAAATGTGATGGACTAAATTCACGTAAAACCCACTTGATTTAATGACTCCAGTTAAGAATACATGCTCTACTTTACACCAAGAAATAACAAGACCTAATTATTATGATCATGTGATTGATGATGATGGAATCTGAATGCAGCTGGTGAACCATGGGATACCAGAGGAGCTGCTGGAGAGAGTGAAGAGAGTGTGTAATGAGTTCTACAAGTTGGAGAGAGAAGAGAACTTCAACAAGTCAACCCCTATGAAGCTGTTGAATGAGAGCAACGGTGAAAAAGTAGAGAACGTGGACTGGGAGGATGCTATCAATCTCCATGATGACAATGAATGGCCGAACAACACTCCTGGTTTCAAGTAATTTTCATCTCTCAGCTCTCTCTCTCTCTCTCTCTCTCTCTCTCTCTCTCTCTCTCTCTCTCTCTCTCTCTCTCTCTCTCTCTCTCTCTCTCTCTCTCTCTCTCTCTCGCAAAACTTCGGAGGTGGAAATATATTTGTAATGTCCAAAAGAGAAATGCGAACAAGTTCTACTAGATTCACATCATATAAAATAATAGGTTTTGAAATTCCTACATTGCTCCTTCACAAGTATAACATTATATAGATCCACTCTCTCATCGGACAGTTTAATACAGAGATAGTAATATTTCCCGTCCTGTGAATATTTAAAAATTTCTCATTTCCAATATTCTTGTGAGGTTAGCTAAATGCAACTATATATACGGACGTTCACGAATCGATTATATGATTTTAATAGAAGGATCTGTTAATAATTTGCGTGTGTAACTCGACAGGGAAACGATGGTGGAATACCGCGCAGAAGTGAAGAAGCTTGCTGAGAAGGTCATGGAAGTCATGGATGAGAACTTGGGCTTGCCAAAGGGCTACATCAAAAGCGCCTTTAACAGCGGCAACAACGAGAACAGCAAGGCCTACTTTGGGACCAAAGTGAGCCATTACCCGCCCTGCCCGCAACCGGAGCTGGTCAACGGCCTCCGGGCCCACACCGATGCGGGTGGGGTGATCCTACTCTTCCAGGACGATGCTGTCAGGGGCCTCCAGATACTCAAGGGTGGAGATTGGGTCGATGTGCAGCCGCTCCCCAACGCCATTGTCATCAACACGGGGGACCAGATTGAGGTTCTGAGCAATGGCAAGTACAAGAGTGTCTGGCACCGCGTCCTCGCCATCCCGGACGGCAACCGGCGCTCCATCGCCTCATTCTACAACCCGTCCCTCGCTGCCACCATCGCCCCCGCACCGCAGCTGGTGGAGCAAGCTGGTTCTTACCCCAAGTTTGTGTTTGGGGATTACATGTCGGTCTACGCGGAGCAGAAGTTCCTCCCCAAAGAGCCCAGGTTCCAAGCTGTGAAGATCATGTAATACTGCATGAAAAGAAATTTCTGTGTGAATTACTCCAAGGGAATAGCATAATTATCTCTCTTCTTTAGGGTTATGCAACAACTGTGGCTTTTTCTTCTCTCAACTGCTGCTTGTGTGGAGGAGATGGGTGTGCAAGTTGTCTTTGAACTCTGAAGTGTGTGCGCTTTAGGTTTGTAATGATTTGTGACCACGAGATGCTATGAAATGCACCCTGGTCTTTGTTTTATGTTGTAACAGTGTTTGCACTTGTATACAGTCTTTCATTTTTGTTTTTTCTTCTCTTTCCCCTTGGATATGATTGCTCATTTCAACGCTGAAAGTTGTGGAACTTACTTAGTTCACTGATAAGGGACAAGATCAAGCTTCCATCAATGTCGAATGTTTGAGGTTTTGCAGTGCTACATTTTTTAGAGGGAGGGTGGGTGACATGGTAACACCGGACTCCCGTCCATGGGTAGATAGTTTGTAAGTTATCCTAAGTTTTAGGAAACAATTTGAATGTCTAATATGGGGTTGAATGAAATTTCATGTAGGTCTGATCGATGCTTGACTATCAACCTCAAGCCGATTCACATTTATCTAGCCCAATGACTACTTAGTAGATCGCAAACCAGATTAATATCTTCACTGTTTCCCCTATAGGAAAACATGAGGGAAGAAACACGTTTCCTAATTTATTTTTTTTGGTCAGAAACATGTTTCCTAATTTAATGAGTTCACTTCTAGGGAGTTTTTTTTTTTTTTGTGGGAGCATAAACTTTAATTTACAATTTGAGGTGTTTAAGCCTAATAGGAGATGGTAAGCGTCACCCTCTAGAGTGTTAAGCGAAATCCTCGAAGAGTTTCCAAGGGGTTCTGACACAATGCAAGGACGTTTGTCGTGAGTTACAAAAATTGTGATAAAAACCCACTTTAATTCACCGACCCCACGAACGTAACTCTTGATCACTGTTCGACAAAATGTCTAGTAAATTGAGCAATGAAATCGAATTGGAATGACAACACCAACAGCTGTCCAACGTCCAAGGACTCCTGAAGTTAGGAGAGTCCGAGAAAATGAAACGAAATATCTGATAATCACGGCTAGAAGAAGCCACCGGGTTAGATCTTCATTCCCTCAAAAAGAATATTTCTATACACCAATTCAATTCCCATTAAAACAAAAATTGAAAAGGGAAACGAGGAAAAGAGAATGGCACCCCAATTCCATGGGCAACCTATATGGTGTGAATTATTATTAGTATGTAGCTTTGTTAAGTGGGATTTTGTATGAACTGTTCGACTTATATACTGTACAGATATGTACATTAACCAGACTCGATGGGTCTTGAATGTAGTAACTTTCTCCTCGCTTCCGAAACCTTCAAAGAGCTTTCTGATCAAGCCTCTCATTCCAATTCAAGCATCTTATTAAGCTACGGAACCAGTCTCCAGTCTGGTCACACTTGTTGACCGTTGGGAGCGGATGCTGGCTCATAGATATTCGAACGGAGTCTCCTCTCGAGAGTTGCTGCCTTCTCTTCCCATCAAAAGAAACCCATGCATTGCTTCGCGCATCTTCCGGAATCTGTTTGTTCACCAGAATGGTTTAAATACTTGAGAAAAAGCTCTATTTTGTAATACGATTATGCATGTAAAGAGCTACTTAGAAATTGCTCTACGTTGTAATATGATGATGCACGTAAAGAGCTACTTCTATGATAGAGAAATCCTCAAGATGACACCATGACAAGACATGCCCTATTATTTTCTTGTTGGCTCCTCAGAGTCATACATGAGTCCGGTTGGGCGAAAGTGATGGTTCGATGGGGAAAATTTGAAAGAAACTTCGAAATCTTCTCGAACATACAGCCCCTAACATGCCAAAGTCAACAAATTAACCATTCTTTCGAGGCTCCAGTTTTTGCCAAGCATTTCTCCACTTCGTCACACACAAACACATCATTTTGCAGGAACTTAAGAACTGAAGTAAGCCCCTACGAGCTGAAGAGCAACATGGCAGCATGAAAGACACTTATATTGAAAAGAGTTTTTTCACTTTCCATTATGCACAATATACAGCATCACTCGACATATATTAAAATCTGCAAAGGCAACGCTAGTAAAGCAATTGAAGCAAAAGTTGCACCTAGATTTTAGCAGCGAGGCTCATAAAATGAGGAATAATATTGTTAAAATTTCAACAGCATAGTGAATTCACCTTTAACTCAAGCCTAGCAGAGTCAGGGAGTATGACAGGCCTGAAGGAAAGAGAGTGTGGGCAGATCGGAGTAAACAACATGCAAGGAACACTTGGATGCACCTGCAGTCAGGAGATGTCACTATCAGAAAACCAGCGAAAGTAGAAAGGTAACAACTTCTAATTCTTTTGGCGGACTTTTTTTTTTGGTTGAAATTTCAGCAGACTTCTCTTGGCATTTTTCTAATTGACATACCAGATTCATACAAAACCCGGGTCGACATGCGCATGCGTGCGTGCATGTTTGTGCGTGCGCTCATGTGAGAGAGAGAGAGAGAGAGAGAGAGAGAGAGAGAGAGAGAGAGAGAAGAGTAAAACAAGTGCATATCTCCATCAGCTTCTGTGTTTGAAGCAAATATGCTATCATTTTGGTCCAGCGAGTGTATATGTGGTTTTTTTTTTCTGGGGGCGGACAAAGAAAGATGTAAACATATATGCCTAAAGATGCATGTATTTCCGGAAATATCAAATATGTAAATAAAGGACCAATTATAAAGTTTTAAGCTTTATTCCTTATGGATACAACATCCACAAATAGACAAGGGAAATGTACTACACAAGCTCAAAAAAAAATTTACCATAGAACCTCCTGCAGCAGTTGAATAAGCTGTACTTCCTGTGGGTGTGGCTACAATGACTCCATCACCTTGCACCTATATGACAAAGTTTTACTTGTAATTTGACGCAACAAAGAAATCAGTTCACTGCATAACAAATTTCGGGTTCCATTTTTTCCTGTTGAGAAGCACAAAATATCGTGTTCCATTTTGACATGAAGACTTCATGTTTCTCTATGACATGTATTAGTGCTCAAAAAGTTTTGACTAAGATAAATAGACTCTTGTCAGCAGGAGGAAAATGTGACTAGACATGTTGCCCCAACAAGAGCAAAATTTTAATAACTTTTCTCCCTCTTTTTTACTTTTGGAGAATGAGTTCACTGACTCACCTTTGTAATAAGCCGATCATGCTCATAACATTCTATCTTTGAAAGGTACGGATTAGAACCCCGATCAACAACAACCTCATTTAGGACATCAAATATTTTGCCAGGCATGGATTTCCCGTTTCGGAAGATTTCACAGCGCAGACGCAATCTAAGAGTTATATAAACACCATCAACTGTATCATTCCCATGAATGACCTGCCTCAAATCCAGTCTATAATCATCAAACTGCACCAAAAGAGAAATAATGAGTTAAAATTTTAAAAACAAATCCTGCTGAAACAATGAGAGGAAAATTAAATTGAAGAGCTTACCTTGTGGGACGTGAGAAATCCAAGAGACCCAAGATTGAAGGATACAACAGGGGGGACAGCATCCCTGAATAAGTTTGATGCATGTAATATTACTCCATCTCCTCCCAAGCAAGCCACAAAATCAACCCTCTCATGAAGATCACTAGATAAAAACACCACCAGATGATCAAATTGCATAAGAAGTCAAATTACAGTGGAAAATAATGAAATTCTGCCTGAGAGTTTTTTCACTGCAACTGCAACTACCTGGTATCTTGACTGTAAAATGTTTGAACAAATCCAAAACCAGGGATTCTAGCAAATACGTCGTGCACGTCAGGTTCAACGAGGACATTCATCTTCTCTTGGTAATACAAGAAAGACGCAACCTGTATATGAGGTAACAAATCCTGAAAACTTGACTACGCACGGTACTATAACAATACAGCAGCTATTATGATAACTACAATTTCATTAGATTACACCGGCACCCTAACAGACCAAAAATGGCATTAGGCAGAAAGAAAGCAGCAACCAATGAGTTGCTTCCTATCAAATGATACAGATTCTATTAAAGCTCTTGAGCTGTCTTTGCATACTTGCTCAATATCCTTCTTTGGTGTCAATGGACTTGAAATCCTTCATATAAATGTTCACATCAAGCCATTGAGCTTGCATCAGCATATTTGCGTCTCAAGTTGCAAGCACTTTCAAAATCTTGCTTTTTACTCATATGAAAAAGTGTAGGTGGGAAAAATAAAGGTGCACACTAGATGCTACATAGCTAATTCCAATTGATACCTGATTTCTAAATAAAAAATACAAATCTGCTTCCACACATAGAGTTTTGTCCATGTCAATGAGGATGATGCCCATGCAGATGCTAAGAGAAATGATAATTAACATGCTCGTTCCTTGGTCCTAGCCCAATAGAGTAGTAACAGTGCTGGCAAATCTGGCATATAATTGCTCACACAGTGAAGCTCTATTATTATGTCAAGGAAAAATCTACCTCTTTAGCTTCTTCCATGAGCTCTGGCCCCAGCTTTTTCAGTAACAGAGCAGTTTTTGGGGTAGATTTCCACATAAGCATCTGTTGTTGTGTACTAGGGTGAGTAAATGCCAACGAAGATTCAGTAACTTTCTCTCTGGTACAAGAGAAACCATCTGTACGAACTAAAAACATCTCTGCTTTCTTTCTTGACTGCACCCGTACAACACCAGTGGCCGAAGCACACATATTCCCCTCAACTTCCGTGCCATTATCACCACTAACTAAGGATGATTCAGCATTTCTTTTACGATCCTCCACAATAGTTTCAGTCATAAGATTCTCATCTACATTAGTTTTCACACCGACGGTGGTATACACAAAAGATGGACCAGTAGAATCTAAATCGTCGTCTATGGCACTCATCCTGTCATAAGCTGGTGCTTTCTGGGGCTTTTGGGAGGGGCTCTTGCCATTAAGGGAACCATTGGGACTTCCTGAATCTGCAAAACTTGAGACTGGACTTCCCTTAGCAGATTCGTCTGTCTGCGCTCTCCAATCAAGTGCTTCTCTTGAAGCTGGGGTTGTTTCCAACTTCTTCGGTTGATTAATGAAATAAGTAGGAGGTGAGATCTTTTTTCTATTGAGGAACCTCGACATCTCTGTTTTAGAGAATATGTTGGTAGGAGGGAATTGAGACTTAAGAGGATCGATGTTAATGAACGAGTTATTTGAAGATTCTGCATGTTTAATGTCTGTTTCTAATGATTTCACAATGTCGCTAGAGCAGAGGGGACCATGTGTCCCATTGACATCCTCTTTGCTATTATCCTCATTGGGAAGGAGTTTCCACTGAGAAGCTCCATTTGAACTGTATGCCATTTCCAAGCTTTTCCTCAATGATTCATCTTCATTTCCAAAGAATATCCCCTCTTCACCCACGAGAGGTTCATGATAATCTCCAATGCCATTCGTTGCTTCAGAAGCTGCATCCTTAGAAGAGGCGGAATTGGCCTTGAATCGGCTCATGTACTGTCTCCATCTAGAAACCATAGCAGAAGTTCTCCAAACCCCTTCTTTACTGTGGAGATAAATAGGCTTTTTGCCACAATCTGATAGCATCGATGCAAATTTTTCCACCTGATCCATTGTAGGTGCAGTCCCCACTTCAACTGGAATTTTGATCAGTTCGATGTTCCCAGACGAAACAGCCTCATCTAGGGCCAATTGATAAAGGTTATCCTTTATCGTCTCTGCCCTTAGATCAACAATAGTTTTAAATCCATTCTCAATCAACCATTTTAGACCCTCATCAGTCACCTGACCGCCCTTCCAAAATGCAACCTCAGAATCTAGGTCCTCTCTGGAAGGGGACAAATAAACAGGATTCCAGTTAGCAAACAGCAGGTGAGAAGGATAGCCATCCCCACGAGGGAAGCCCGAGTCGTAACAAACATTCTTCAGCCTTTGTAATTTCCTCCAGACATCCAGGCTTTGGTCATCATCAGGTGTCACAATATTTTCAAGAGCAACATGAAGACTCTCACAACATCGCTTCATCTCACTTCTGAACATAGCGAGGGGAGGAAGCTCATCATCCTCCATCATGCTCACATCCCGAAATGAGTTCATGATAGAAGACCTTCCAGAAAGAACATCTTCTCTCCCCTTGTTCAAGAGAGATAACACACAACCGAGGACAGAGACTATTTTATCTTCCAAAAGCGGTTTTTCCTCCACCGCGAAATCGTAAGGAACAGTACATTCTCCGGTCAACGGATTGCACAGCGTGTCCATCAGCGCGGCATGAAGCCGCTCGGCAGCTCTGAAGATTCTGCAATACGCTTCGATTTCCGCGATATCCCCAGGAACAGGGCCTATCCACGGCAACTGCGACGTGTCCTGAGAGTGGCCAATCTTCTGCCAAAAGAAACAAATCTCAGTCTATGATGCACCCAGACACCAACTCAAGTGCCATCGATTCAGTACTCTTCCAATCGTGCTAAAAAAAAAAAGCCGGTACTTTACTAGCGACGAAGCAAAACGCAACCTTTCTATTCTCCAACACAAAGGGTGATAAGAAATTTGAAAAGCTAAAGCACTACCATAACGAAGCCGAAACAACCTTCACTACACACAGAAATAACTCTTTCACTAGGATTCAAAGCAATCCCTGCTACTTTTCATGCTACGAAATGATAATAGAAACTTCAAAAAGAAAACAGAAAATCGCAACTCTCTCGTACATATCGACCAGCGCCGAACCCGTTCTCCCCAAAGAATCAACTAGGCGAGTTCGCCACTCACCTGCGAGTCGAAACCAAAACCGGGCGAGAAGCCGCTCCGAATCTCAGCGCACACGCAGAACCCGAAGCGCCGCTTGAACCGGACCTTCCCCCGCGGCGAGGACCCGCATCCCAGCAGCCCGGAGCTCCGATTGCCCAGCAGCGCCGCCCGGCACGGGCTCAGCTGCAGGGGCCGAAGGCGCGGGGGCGAGTGGGGAGGGGCCCCACCCGCGGCGAGCGGGAGCGGCGGAGGGGAGGGGCGCACCTCGGCGGCGATCGCCAGGCGGCACGCGTGGTGGGGGCAGCGCGCCATGGGGAGCGACGGGGAACGGAGGAGAGTTCCAGGGTGGAGGATGATTGAAATCGATGGTGTTTTGAACCGTTGGATTGAAATGAAGGGCGCGATGATGAATCGGGCGATGTCGATGTGGATAATATCGGCGGGGGAATCGTTGGCGGGTAGCGGCGGCAATTTGGGTGGCTTCAGTTTCTTGGTGTTGTCGCTTCTTGTTTTCTCTTTTGCTGTTTTGCTTTGCCTTGAACAGTTTGCTTGATTCGGACAGGGCAGTTTTGGTTTGATCTTCTGATGTGATGTTGTTGTTTATATATATATATTTGGATGGATTGTGGAACATGTTTTTTTCTTTCCCCCTCATTTTCTTTTATTTATATATTTACCCTTTTTTTCGTTATTTTCTCTTTTTTCTTTTTGTGTAGCGGAAAGTGTGGGAAAAATTCTGGCACAGGCTTGATTCGCTTGGACTCGAGTCCGGTTTGGGACTTTCCAAGACTCATCGTTTTACTGAACTGTTGAAAGTAATATTTTCAAGGGAAAGTTAATAAGCACGTAAGAATTTTACTAATGATTCACCCATTTTTATACTTACTTAGGAGCACCTCTTCTAATTTCTTATATAAAAATGTTGCTAAATCTTTTTTTTATTAACTCGCTTTTAACACTTACGAAATTACTCTTTACATTGAAAAATCACTAAACCCCCAGATCAACTCGCTTTCTTTAGCTTTAGAAAGTTACCAGCCTCCTTTCTATTAGGAGGGAATGGAGAGGGAAAATTTCTTCACCAATATTATCTTGTTTAGTATGAGTAATTAAGATCAAATGTACAGACTGAAATAAGAAAATGTCTAGTTTAAAATTCGCATCAAGAAAAAAATATATTAGAGACGACATCAAAGAAATTAATAAATGTACAAACACGAGCAACTGATATTTTTACAAAAAAGATTACCATCTCAAATTTGAATATTTTTTCTTAAATCCCCTCAAACCCATGCTAATTCTCAAGAATTTGGAGGGGTTTGGATCAATTAAGACAGCTGCAAGAACACTTTAATCGTTCTCTCATCGATGCCCCTTAGTTTGCCGGTAATATTAGAAATTTAGAATTAGATTCCTCTTCATTCTTTGCTCTTCCCTAACCAAACTTGGAAGAACCAAGTTCCCTTCTTTTCCTGTCTTTTCTTCTCTTTACGTCATCATCAGAATCCCTTTCATTTCCTTATAGTCAATCCATCCAAACAAAATGTGAGTGTCACGATTTGGCTATACTTTGCATCCACAGACGACAAAGCCTTGACCTGATAATCAATATTTTAGTAACACAATTTCTTACTGAGGGTGACCTTTTGAAAATAAAGTCACAAGATCCAGGGAACACAAATTGCCGGCCTGGCAAGATTGTAACAAAAGCATTCCACAGAAAACAGCACCAGTTTCTCGCAAATCAGACCGTCTTTCGATGGTTGTACAGAAATGCTGAGCTTCATCTTCGCAGTAGCCTAGAATGGTTACATGATGTAACATACTATACAGTTGATCTCATCAGAAAAAAGCTTCTATGTCTAGTGCATACAGATCATTTATTTTACAAATCTATACCATATTAGGCACTAATAGCTTATTACAAAAGCATTAATGTGTGAAAGTTAAATGTCTCATTTTTCTTTATGGGGGCAGCCCGCCATCCACATCTCATGATCTGCTCATCTCTCTAGGACAATCACAATGCATAAGTGTATTCTGGCCTCGCATTAGCCATAAATGGCCTCAGTTTAGTATAGCCTTGTCCTTTCACTGTATCAACTATCACCTCTTAAATTGATCCATTACACAAATTCGGCCATGCTTAGCTCATACTGCTTTGTGTTCGAACTCGATCTATAATCATTTGCCGACCTGACAAATCTTCCTCATAACCAACTACCTGCAATTGATGCATCATGCTCAAATATAATTACCATAAAGCTAATGGTGCTAAAATAGATTTGAGCACATGACTGACGGCTTTCGACAAAAAGTAAATAAAACATTGCTAAAGAGAAGTAACAGCAGCAGAATGAGTTGAGAGGAAACCTGAGAATCAGTCTGTGTCTCACTAAAACCATCAAAGGTGTTTGCATTTCCAGAAGGTTTGCAGATATTCTCATTCTTCTGGCTCCTGAAAAGATCACAAGCTCACAGCTAAAACGACGACAAGAAACAAGATGTCCACGTATGTCTTCTCTCATTCTGGAACTCTCTTTCCATTTATAGACGAAAATAAAATTGGCCTTTGCATAATCTAGTGGGCTTGAAACATTCCAGGATAAAGGAAATATAATTATGGCTTCAGTTATTTATGATCCAGCACCATACTTTATGACTACAAAAATGTTGCTGCTATCACGGTAGTATGAAAACTTGGACCACATCACCTTTTTATTCATGCTTAAGCAACTTCCAATTAGAAAGATAAAGAAAGGGTTATACTAATAGTCATTATTTGAGTGTCAAAACCAAGAGTCACAAGTTAAACATAAGGTCCTTGAGTCGTGTTCATTTACCTGTTACTAGCAAACCTTAAATTCATTAACTCCATTTTGTATGTTTATATGCCGATCTACAATTTGCAGAATTCAGTCTTGAAATTAGAGGATGCCATGAAAAATTGAAGCCCATAAGCTAAGTGAGAAATGCACCAGTCCACCACTGTCTAACCAATAGAGGAGCAATCGGCTAATATTTCTGCATTTATACCCTAAACTTTCTTCTCAATTCAACTCAGATAGAGAAGAGAAACTACTTTTCTTCAAAACACTAATAATAATATTAACTCAAAAATAATCTGGATATACAACTTGAGCATGTGATTCAGTCATTCTTGCAGGCGTATATCCCAACAAAAAATAAGCTATGAAAAATGCAGGAAAACAAAAATCTCAGTGATGCAATTCAGATGCATTACAAAGTTCACCTGTTTATCCAATGCTTGGACAACCCAACTACTGCAGGAGGCTCTGGATGCTCTTGGCCTAGAAATGAACAATGAGATGAGAAAAGTTGTTCCATAGTCAAGGATCCATACTAACAGAAAAAATCCCTATGTAGAGCTAAAGAAAGACCTGATAGAAAGGAGATGCTTCTATCACACACAATCCTCACTGGAGACTTCAGATCGTGAATCTTGCAGAAAAAGAAGGTGATTAATTCAACAAATGAAAAGTCGTGTCCAAATGATCTAAAAAATGAATATAATCTCTTACCCTACTTGTCTGCTCCAGCAAATCCTCAATGGCTGCAGCAACATCAGGAACAGCATCTGCACCTTCCCCAGAATTATTCAATTTCTCTCCTTTACTGCAATCACTATTGCTGGTAGGGTAACTAACATGTTCCCTAGATGAGCAAAAATCTTTGGGGGCATCGTCTGGAGTGACTCTTGCCTTTTTACTAGAACTTGAGTAGTTCTTTTCTTCCCAAGAGAACTTGTGTATGTTCTGATTCTGGGTAATTTTCGAGTCTTGAGATTGACTTGGAAACTGTGATGGATGATCTCCAGATATTGTTTGGATAATCTGTGAAGGAAACTGGGTCATAGCACATAATCCTGCTTCTTGTTCAGAAACTTCTTTTGGGCAAAATTGATCAGAAGGAACAAGCTTGTTCTGCGAAGAAACAGATTATATTAGGATCTTCCATAATTTATCATAATTCACATTTACACATGCATGAGACAGCACCATACATACCTGCCTGACACACTCATATATCCAATCACATGTAACTGACTTTATACCCCATTTACACGCTGCCTCATACTTTGGCCCATTTCTGAACTTGCACAGTAGATGTGTGACTTTTCTAGTCAGCTTTAACACAAACTTAGCTCCCAAAGTAAAACACAAATTTCTTAGTAAAAGTCGATCTTTCTCTTCATACTGGGAAACACAAAAGCGGAAACTCTCGAACCCTGGAAGAGGAACCCGACAAGGAAGTGGAGAATAGAGGATGTGACTATCAACATCCAGCAAACATCCACCCTTCAAAAACAAGATTCACTTGCATTAGCATTCAGTGCAAAACGCATCGCAACAGGTATCTCTATATAAAATTGGCTGATTCTAGACGAAGTGTTGAAAATGAAAGAAATTAAGAGACAACCAAATATTCAATCAACTGCAGGTGAACCACTAAAATAGAATTCTCTAAAGAACAACACTGAATCTGACAAGAACACAATGCTTCTCATTATAATCGAGAAATTTTCTTAATGGGTAAAGATCTGTTCTAGATCATGATTATATGACGCCATATAAACAAAATCAAAGGAGAAATACATGAACTTCATCATGTTTTAATTCCTTCCTTCTTCCTTTTTTTTCCTGTAAGAGGGATCCACGCTATGATAAAAGATTTGAGCTCAATCCATGGACATGTGTCCTCGGTTGGGGTGGGGAGAGAGAGAGAGTGAGAGGAAAAGATATTGCATGCCCTCAGAACGGAATAGCTAGTGCTGCATTCAAAAGCATCATGAGTTAAAAACATATTCACCAAATTTTAAGATCATCTTTCAATCAATAAGGGTGCTCAATATCTGTTCTCTTTCCATGTCTGCTTGTGACATGGTTATGTCACAAACCTGATAGCCTAAATAACATTGCTCCAAGTCAAAGATTTATACTTCTCATCCATCCCCAAAAACAAAACAGACAAAATACTGAAACACTTGGACTTTGTTAACCGTTCAATGGATGCATAAAAGATTCGAAGTTACTCGCAAGAAAGCCCTCTTCTTTCCTCTGTTTGACGAACAAGCAAGGACAGAATTTAAAGAACTATTTATTCGACTGTCTCGGCATTGAATAAGCCATGTCGTGAAGAATGATAGAGGCTATAGCATTACGGGTTTAAAATTTTGAATTCATGAATATGTGTCAGTAAAGTATATAACTTCTTTCATTGCAAATATATGACAATGACACAAGATATAGGAAAAAAAACTCCATGCTAAAAATTAAAAGAAAAGCTGCACAAACCAAATTGTCAAGCATACCTCTAAACAACACCGAATCCAGTGGCTGGATACACAAATAGTTCGGGTGATATCGTCTTTGGGCTTTACGCCGTGACACTCAATGATGAAATGAACATCCTGTGTTTCATGATCACCCACCACCACACCTCCTCCTTGATTTACCCATTCAATAATTTCATCACGCTGGATAGGGAAAGCATTCCAAGATTTACAACAGTAAGAAAAATGTAGACATGTAATATACAAACAGAATAGACAATCAGT